AATATCTTTAATGAAAAAGAAGTACCAATGATTGAATTATATCAACGTGGTTATGGAAAAGATGCAGCTGGTATTGCTGCTGAAGCAATTAATTATGGTAAGGATTTGAATATATAGTGATTTATAATGTTTCTTTTTTTTTGTTTTAGCCAAAGATAAAAAATATGATGTTGTTTTAATTGATACAGCTGGTCGAATGCAAAATGATGAACCATTAATGGTTGCATTAGCTAAATTAATTCATGTTAATAATCCAGATTTAGTTTTATTTGTTGGTGAAGCATTAGTTGGAAATGAAGCTGTTGATCAAATAACTAAATTTAATCAAGCACTTATTGATCATGCTCGTTTACAAAGTAGTCCACGTGTTATTGATGGTATTGTTTTAACTAAATTTGATACAATTGATGATAAAGTTGGAGCTGCTATTTCAATGACTTATACAACTGACAAACCAATTGTTTTTGTTGGTATCGGACAACAATATCAAGATCTTAAAACAATCAATGCCGATGTTGTTACTGAAGCTCTTTTAAAATAAGCAATCGTAAATATAAAATAAACTTGGTGATGGGATTTTCTTTTTTTTTGTTGTTTTTATCTTCTCTGAGTGCCATATATACCTTCTTTATTAATATATTTTGTCATTTGTCTTCTTCTTCTCCGTATTTATGTCTTTCTTATTCTCGATTGCTATTGTTATTGTTGTTGTTTCGTTCGTGCTTATTGCAATAAACTTTACTTTTACATTTAAAATCAATTAATACTGCTTATATCGATGTTTTAATTTATAAATGATGAAAAAAAAACATTCTAAATGAATCATAGTGAGTAACTATTAACACACCAAGGATTATAATGAATTGTTATGTGTAGAAAAAATAACCTTAAACAAGATTTTCAATCGATAAATTGTTTTTTATTACACTGCTAGAAATAATGTTACAAATGTAATGAATCAGTTCAACTTCAGACATCGTATAATTTATAGGTTACACTCATATAAATCAGCGTCATCTATTTAACCTTCGTTCTTATTTGTTAACCAATAAGAAAAAAAATAAAGAGATAGAGATTCTCTTTTTTATTTTTTTTTCTCCTTACATCATTACATTATGTCAATCATTCTCAGATTTTATTTTTTTTTAATCTACAAGGAAAATACATACTTTATTACGAGTAGTGTATTATTATATATCGATTCAATCAACTGGATTGTTTCTTTATTTTTAACTTCTAGCGTATTATTAGAAATTTGAAAAATATTTAAATTGAATTATTTTTAGATGTCTCGTGATCATCATAGTCGCCGCCAACGTCAACGTTCTCATTCAACACATTCATCTTCTTCTTCACGTTCGTCAACACCATCACCTAAACGCCGTCATCCACCGAGCGATGATACTGATCAATTACTTCAAAAACATAGTCGATTTTTTTCTCAATTACCGGATGGTCCACCCAGGAAAACGAATCGAGAAAAAATGGATTTTGATCATACACCATATCCATCAGCATCATCCTCATCACGTTCATATCCATCAGCAAATACTGATCGACATCAATTTGAAGCACGTCGTGAAGAACGTATACGTATAGCTGAAGTTGGTACACATGGCATTTGGTCGAAATCTCCCGTTCGTATTGATGAAGATTTGGAGAGTAAAATTGTAAAAAAGAAGAAATCATCATCATCATCACATAAAAAGAAAGATAAAAAGAAAAAATCAAAAAAGAAAAAACGAAAACATTCTTCATCCTCATCTTCATCATCATCAGGAGAAATCGAAAGTGATTCAGAACCAAAATGGGTCGAAACAAAAACAAAAAAATCAACAAAAGTCGAAACTTTACAAAAGCAACAAATTAATGAACCAGAATTTATTGGTCCATCCTTACCCGAACATTTATCTCAATCAAATTCTTCAACAAATCCATCAGGTGGAGATAAACCATTAGATTTTGGTAAAGCACTTTTACCTGGTGAAGGTGAAGCTATGGCAAGATTCGTTGCTGAAGGCAAACGTATTCCACGTCGTGGTGAAATTGGTTTACAATCAGATGAAATTGTACAATTTGAAGAACTTGGTTATGTTATGTCCGGTAGTCGACATAGACGTATGGAAGCTGTACGTTTACGAAAAGAAAATCAAGTTTATAGTGCTGATGAAAAACGTGCATTAGCTACATTCAATAATGAAGCACGTTCAAATAAAGAAGTCGCATTAATGTCACAATTTAAGAATATTGTAGAATCGAAACTTAAAAAATAAAAGTTTTCATCGATTTGTTTATTTGTTAAATAAAATTTTCTCTTGTTTATAATTAACGGAAACAAAAAAAATTAAACTCCTATTTTTTTTTCTTGCAGATTATATATGTGTAATAAAAAATAGAGAATGCAATTTCTTTGGTTTGTGATATTTCTAGTACAATGTTTTTTAAGTATTAATGCTAAATGGGTACGTGATGTTGATTCCAAAATTATCGACGAAATTAAACAAAATCCGTCCATTGCTTATTTAATTCAATTTCATGCACCATGGTTTGTTTTTGCATTCTTGATAAATTCGATTTTTAAGAGACGTATTTTAGGTGTGGACATTGTCGAAAGTTTGAACCTGTTTATGAAGAAATAGCGAAAGAAATCTATGATTTATCATCAACAGTTGATGAATTTAAAAATATTCGTATTGTACGTATTGATGCTACTGTTTATACTGATGTTGCTAATCGGTATGATGTACGTGGTTATCCAACAATAAAATTTGTTCGTGGTCCACAAGTATTTGCTTATGAAAATGAACGAGCAAAAACAGCTGTTTTAGAATTTTTACGACGTGTCAATGGTCCGGCACTACGTTGGTTACCATCAATTGGAAAATTTAATGAAATACGTCGTGAACATGATGTTTTCTTTTTATTTGTTACAACAAATCATGATGAAAATGACAATTTATTTAATCAATATAAAGATATTGTTAATCGATATTTAAGTCAAACTTATTTTTATGCAACGAATGTTTCAATTATTCAACAAACCTATTTTTCAAAATATAAAACCGATGCTAAATCACAAATATTTGCTATTAAAAATGAAGGATTTTATTTATATAAACCTGAAGATTATAATAATAATTTAGATGAATTTATTATTAAAGAAAAAGTTGCGACTTTTCCACAAGTTGCATCTGGAAATATACATGATTTAATTGTAACAAAACGAATTGTGATTATTTATGCATTTAAAGATCAACATGAATTAGTTGCACAAAAACAAAAAAGGTTTGAGAAATTATCTTAGATATACATTTGTATAGTGAGGGTGTGGGTTTGGGTGGGGTGGGTGAGTGAGGGTGTGAGTATGAGTGATAATGAGGTGAACACCCACACCCTTAGAATTCAACTAGTGAAGATACTTTTTTCAGTTAGCTTCACCCTATCAGTTTCTACCCGAAAGCTATAGTTCAAATGAATATTTTGTTTTTTTAAATAATTTAGAAATGAATTGAAAACTCAAATGCGTGCTTATGTTATGAAACATATATCAACACTTCGTGATACATTCCAATTTTCATGGTCAAATGATCTTGATTTACTTAGTAATATAGGTAAGTTCATTTTAAAAATTCTTTCGCATATATATATTATTTTATTTAGCTGTATGGACACTTGATGAACCATTAATCTTTCTTTATGATAGTGTTATACATAAATATGGTATTTATCCATTATCATCAATGATTGATAGTAATATTCAATTGGAGCCTATACTTGATTATATTATTAAAAATTCTACGGAAATAATTCAATATTCAGGTGATACATGGCCTAAACGTATATTTCGTCCATTTTGGGAATTATATCGAACAATAATATCAATGTTTATTGAAGCACCATTTATATCTATGCTTATTATTGGTATTCCAGCATCTGTTATATCATTAATATGTTATTGTTTATGTTGTTCATCGAGTGATAATTCGTCAAATAAATCAAAGAATCCGAAGAAAAAACGAAAAGATGGACAAATTACTGAACAAGATGAGGATGAACAACAAAGTTTAAATGAAGATGAAGATGATGAATATGAAGAACGTATTGTTCAAGTTGAACCAAGATTTATTGAAAAATTTATTAAACCGCCTGATGCACGTGATATACCAACATGGCCTATCATGCCAGATGATAGTCAAAAATCAATTAGTGAAAAAAAACGAGATTAAACAATTTTGCTTTTGTTTGTTTTTTTTTATATATTTGTTTGTTTGTTTGCTTTAATTTTTCTCTAGTCAATGTTTGTTCTGTAACGTATTTACATCTCAATAATTGTTTATATCTCTTTATTAAATATATACATATATATATGTGTGAATGTACTTTTGTTGTTAAAGATGAAAAAGTGGAGAGTTCTACTCGGTTTTGGTAGTGAAACCGGTCAATCAAAATCGATTGCTCAAGGAATGGTTGATATTGCTTCGGATCAACATCAAATATGTGCAGAGGTTTTTGATTTGGATGAAGTTGATAAACAAGTGAGAGAATAGATTTATGTTCATTGGCAATAATTTCCTACAACAAATTTCTTGAAAGAATACATATAACGGAATTAATATCTCGTTTAGTTTAAATTAGAAGAAGAACCAGTCATGGTTATTGTAACATCATCAACAGGTGATGGTGAACCACCAAGTAATGCAAGTAAATTCTGGCGTAAAATTCGTCGTGAAAAAAATCCACAATATCTTTCACATATGAAATACACTGTGTTAGGTATGAACAGTATATATATATTTAAGTCATTCTAGAATTTATCTGTATTTAGGATTGGGTGATACAAATTATTCAAATTTTTGTAATTGTGGTCGTGTACTTGATCGTCGTTTTGAGGAACTTGGTGCTACTCGATTCTATCCTTCCGCATGGGCAGATGATGCTGTTGGGTATAGTTTTATTTTATTCTTTTTTAATTTTATTATAATAATTTTAGTTTGGATTTAACAATTGAACCGTGGCTTGAAGGCATGTGGCCTGCTTTAAAAGAAACTCTAGCTAAAATTGGAAATCCTACTGAAACATCAATAAATAGTCTCTCTGAATCTGTCACTCAATTGAATTTAACATCAGAAAACAAACCAACAGTTGAACGACAAATATCATCATCAAATAAATTTAAATCAGATATAGATAATATAACTTATTCATCAAATTTAGCTGAATTAACCGTATTAACATTACCACCTAAACCTCAACATTCATTATCGATAAATTTAATTGAATCATCAGAAGTAATTTTTTTAAATTTCCTTCATAAATTTTTATTCATCTCGTTTTTTAAGGATAAAAATCTGCCATCATCTGAAATAAATTATCATCATTCGATATTAACTCGTCGAGAATGTTTAACAAATACTGATGCAATGAAACCTGTTATGTCTGTTGATTTACAACTTTCAGTTTGTTGAAATAGTTTTCATAAATATCGATACTAAATTTAATTTATTAGGAAGATGAATTTATGTTTGAAGCTGGTGATGCAGTAAAAATTGTTTGTGCAAATGATGATAATGAAGTTCATCTTCTTTTAAAACGGTATTTTATATTTTTTTGTTGCTTTTCTTTTTCTATTATTAGAATGATTATATTTAGTTTAGGATGGTTGGGTAAAGCATCTCATCAATTAGATATTAGTATATCTCCTGATAATACAAAAAAATCAGCTAAAATTCCAGCACATATACCACCAATGTGTTCATTGCAATATGCCTTAACAAATTGTATTGATATTCGATTATCACCGCGGAAAGTAAAACCAACGAGAAATAATCTATTTGAATATATATATATAAATTTTATTTATTAGAATATATTAAGATTATTTGTTGATTGTACAAGTGATGAAGATGAAAAACGTCGTTTAGAAGAATTATGTAGTAAAGAAGGTTCGGAAATTTATATAAAATATATTCTTGAAGAACATCTATCAATTCTTGATATTCTAAATCATTTTCCAAGTTGTAAGCCAGATATTGCGATATTAATCGGTAAAAATAAGAATTTTCATATGTAACATTTTCATATAATTATTACTTTTTAGAATTTTTACCAGCATTAATGCCTCGATTTTATTCAATCTGCAGGTATGAATATATTGTTTAAATTATTACTCTTAGATTTTATTCAATTGTAGTTCACCGTTAGATGATACTCGACGTATAACATTCGTTTATAGTGTACTCAAATTTGAACCTGTAAATGGTCGAACATACGAACGATTTGGTGTTTGTACGAATTGGTTAAATAAAATTGATATTGGAACGAAGGTTAATTATAGATATATGTACATATTTTTATTAATTTTCTTCATTGAATTTAGGTCTCAATTCAAACAAGAATTAGTCAACATTTTCGATTACCGTTAACTCTTGATACACCATTGATTATGATTGGACCAGGCACAGGTGTCGCACCATTTATTGGATTTCTTGAACATTTGTAGGTTATTTATTCTATGAAAGAATTATAAATTTTCGAAGGTATTTTTTTAGAAATCTTTCTTTGAAATCAATTGATGGTTTTGATGTGAATAATTTGAATACCTGGCTTTTTTATGGATGCCGTCATCGACAACATGATTTTCTTTTCGAGTATTTTTATTATTTAGATTTTCCATTATTTAATTATTTTCCGTAGAGAACAAATTCAAATGTATCAACAAATGAATGTACTCAAACACTTCTTTGTTGCAGCTTCAAGAGAAGAAAATTATCCAGTAAGTTTTATTATCTATAACTATATCTTAAAAATAATCTTTTATTAGTTCCGTTATGTTCAAGATCAACTTAAAGCAAATGGAAATGAATTAGCAAATTTAATCTATAATCAAAAAGCAATTATATACGTATGTGGTGATATAAAAGTAATGGTACGTGATGTACGAGAAACAATAGCTCATCTACTTCAAGAACATTTTGGTTTGTATTAATTGAATTTTTTTGTTCGAAAAACGAAATATTTGTTTGTTATTATAGATATACCAAATATTGA